GGACAGCTTCGGTTTTGTGGACGTGGCTTTAGTTCCTTTCTACTGTTGGTTTTATGCCTACGAAACTATCGGCAACTTCAGCATCGAAGAGCATTGCCCCAAGTTGATCGAATGGGGCAAGAGGTGCATGGAGAAAGAGAGCGTGTCCAAGTCCTTGGCCGATCCGAAGGAGATTTACGAGTTTGTTTTGTATATGAGAAAGAAAATGGGCATCGAGTAAGGACCTGGATGTGTTTTATGGGAGAATGCTACTATCCCGTTACAGGATAGTTCCCTTGTATTTTTTAAGCGTAGATTATCTACACATTACTAGACTACATGTATATCTACGGCTACAAAAGACAAGGGAACCATCCCGTAACGAGATCATAACATTTCCCTGTGTTTTGTGTGTGAACTATTTATTTGAGACAATAAAGGCATCCTAGCCGGAATGTAGTGTATGGTGTGAGTGTGGTTTACTGTCCTGGTAAACTGCCCTTTACTTCGTATAAATTTATTATGATTTCTAATTATACTTTGTGCTATATTATTGTTATTTCAATTGCCTTTACTTTGATAATGATTATAAGAGAAGTGTCTATGAAATTCGATCATCCAACTGAAAATGGAACAAGAGATTTCATCTCCCACAAATATTTTGAAGTAATGTTGTCAAATTGCGAGGATAAGTTCAAAATATTAAATAATAATTGAACTCTACTATCCGTTTTGGACTTAATCGTCACCATTTCTAAGTCTTGTTTGGTATTCTATCCGTTACAAAACCAATCCTATTAAACTCCTCTAACCCTTCTCTTCTCCCACTAACTTAATTTTGTCCCTTAAGCTCCCTCACCTCATAAAACTCACAATCCTCCTTATATAAGCAAACCCCATCTCTCATCTCTTTTCATCTCTTTCCTCATAGATATCACTCAGTAATATACAATGGCTTCCTACTCCTCCAAACTCCTCCTCTCCCTCGTGCTCGCTTCATTACTCGTGTCCTCCTCGACGATCTCGGCCCGGAAAATCAACCCGCGCTCCACGGCAAGTACTCTCTCGGCCCGCCTGAAGCTCGACCAGCACAATCCTGACGGCACGGGCACGTGTTGGGACGCGTTGTTCGAGCTCCAGTCGTGCAGCGGTGAAGTAGTGCTCTTCTTTCTCAACGGTGAGACCCAGCTAGGCCCCGCGTGCTGCGGGGCCATACGGACCATCGAGCACGAGTGCTGGCCGTCCATGCTCGGCTCGCTCGGGATCACGGCTGAAGAAAGCGACGTGCTCCGTGGCTATTGCGATGCGACAGCCGCCAGGGGCGGCGGCTCGACTGGTGCCCCTCCTCCTCCTCCGCCGCCGCCGCCATTGCTGGAGCACCACTGCTATGGCAAGTTTCCACGTGTCCTGCCCTGATTTGACAACGTTTGGCCGTAGCTCCTAATTATGAATTAGGATTGGTTGTAATGAGGAGTGGTGTTATTAAATGTTAATAAAGCTGAAATACTAAGATTTGTCTCTTCTTGATATCTTTTCATCAGAATTTTGACTATAAAAAAGATCTAATTACTCGTATACCTTAATTAGTGACTTAATTGGGGCGGCTTATTATATTATTTGACAAAATAATTAAAAATAAAATATTTTTAATATGTGAAAAGCCACGTAGGTAATGAGGCCTCCAACGCCGGAAATTAGTGGGAATCTTTTTGTTTCTTGAAATGGTCGGTTACAAGTCAACGGATCTGTGGTGGACAAGTATAATGAGATTTTAATATATTTTATTGGTATTTATTTAGCAGCTAAATTAATTTTATGTTCATTATTGTTAATTTTAACTAGTGCGGTACCCGTGCGATGCACGAGCTAGTTTTATTAAGGTAAACAGTTAAATTTGAATGATTGGAAGAACGTAAAATACATATATTGAAATGAAACACAATGTAACGTTATATATTATTAAACACATCTTTGTACACAAAATTATTTGTTTAGTCTTTTGGTACATCGTCTATCGCCACAAATTATATTAACATTGTAGATAGTCTTAAATAAATCGGTTAACTTATTTAGAAGAATATATACGATATTTTGTAAGTGTATGAAATCATTATTTATTTTGTAAGTGTATTCAATCAATTTCAAATTTGTATTCTAGATAATTAAACAAAACCTAAATTTTTAGGATGTTACAATCCGATTTCATTTTGAATTTCAAATTAATATTATATGACTTTGTTTTATGTTTAAAAAAATGCATTAAAGAAGGTAGTAATCAAATGATATAAGATTTTTAAATTTTAATTTGAAATTTGGCCCGATTTTTTTGTAATCCGATTTTTTTTTAATAAACATGATCTGCTACAATTAGGTAAAGATACATGTTATAGTGTTTTGTCTAATTAAAAAATTCTCGATTGTATGGTAAACTTATTTTTTTAATAAAAAAATGAAAGAATTTTGACTTTTACAAAATTGTCATGGCGACTATGCAAACCGATTTTATAATAAATATTTGATTTGTTGCCATTAGTAAAAGATATATGTGAAAGTATTTTCCCTAATTCGAAATTCTTAATTTTATTTTATTCAGTTTTTTTTAAGAAAATAGAGAAAGAAAAATGACTTTTGCATCAGTCGAAATTTACCTAAATTAAATCTACAAAATATATAAATTCAGGGTGCATATTAAAAACAATAAAATTGTTGTACCATTTCAAGATTAAATCAACCGTAATTAGTTTTAATTAAAATATATAGTTTCCAAACAAAACACTTTAGTTAGTAAAAAATTTATGGTATGTAATATTGTTTCTTTATGGTAGCACGATTTTTTGAAAGAAAAGTAACAAATACCATAATTTTAGAGTAGCATTTAATGCTGATTGTTTGAAAAAAAAAAAAGAAGTTACTAAGTATGGAATGCAATTAATGCTAATAGAGATTTGACCAGAATTTGACCTACTATTTTTAAAAAATGATAATTCTTTTTATATATATATAGATTTATTTATTAAAAAATAAGATTGACATTTTTATTAGAGCATCTTGGCCTTGTTG